TAAGTATGTTTATCTACACATCTATTGGGCAAAAATGCAGGTATTCTGTTTTTTTATTTGACCATGGCAGTTTTTTTGCATTCACCATGGATTTTGTATGTAGATACCATGGCAAATTGTCTCTACCATCAATGATATGCTACTGGATGGCAAGAAAAGAAATGGAACAACATTTTACAAGGACTTGTTATGGAAGGATGTTGGACACTTTGGAAGCACATGAATGGTATAATATTTGACCAGAAACAAGTAGACATTCTATACTGCATACACTGCTTTAAAGAGCACTTTGGGATGATCATACAAAAGAGCAAGCCAAACCTCAAGAAGGGTATGCAGGATTAGCTAGATACATTGTAAATCTACTTTCTTAGGTTATGCCCCAAAGATGATGTATATCCCCTTGTAAATACTCACCACCATATTAATGAAAATTCAGTGTTACAGTAGGGTTTTTACCCTACTGTATTTGCTCAAAAAAAAATTGTCTCTACCACGACATTATCAATTATTAATCATGTAGCAAATTTATTTTCTACATTTTGGAAAATACCTAAATTTTCCATGCTTTTAGAGAACCAAATGCCTAAATTACAATGCCCCTTGGGAACTTCCAAAATTTGCCATGTTTTTTTCAGAAGAAACAAAAACCTAAAATTTGTCATGATGTGTACTTTCTTTATACAAAGCATATTCATCAAAACTTTTACGCCCATGGCATTTTTCTTACACAAATCATGCCAATTTTAATTAAAATAACCATGGAAAAATTTAATTTACATTCTCCATGACATTTTTGGCTCATAGTTTGTGTTATTTTATATATACGGCAATTTTCTCATATGAAACATGGCAATATTAATTACAATACCATGGCAATTTTTAAATATGCATCTGCTAGGGCAATTTTGTTCATAATTAAGTTATTTCATGATATAGGTCATTATTTTCAGACGCAAAAGGGACTACAGCAGGAGGATCCGATGTCTCCTATCTTGTTCAATGTTGTTGCCGATATGTTGGTGATCCTCATTGGTAGAGCCAAGGAGGACGGCCAAGTAGGTGGGCTCATCACACATCTTGTGGATGAAGGTGTGTCAACACTACAATATGCTGATGATGCAATTATTTAAATAAAACATGATATGTCAAAAGCTAGAAATATGAAGTTGGTTTCATGTCTCTTCGAACAACTGTCCAGGTTGAAATTAAATTTTCATAAAAGCGAACTGTTCTGCTTTGGGTGCGCCAAGGAGGAATGTAAACTATAGACAGTTGTTTGGATGTGGACTTGAATCCCTATCTTTTAGTTATCTAGGGATCCCAATCCATGACCGAAAGTTGACCAATAAAAAATGAAAGTGCATTGAAGATCAATTTGAGAAAAAACTAAGCCGTCGAGTGCGCAAACTTATGTCTTATCGGGGCCGTTAATTCTTAATAATTTCGTGCTTACAAGCATGCCGATGATTCTGTTATTCATCTTTGAGGTTCCTGTAGGGTACGGAAAAGGTTTGACTTTTATCAATCACAATTTTTTTGGCAAAGCGACAAAAATAAATCTAAATACGGACTGACTAAGTGGGACATACATTGTAGACTGAAAGATCAAGGGGGCTTGGGTATTGAAAAACCTCAAAGTAAAGAACAAGTGCCTACTTAGCAAATGGTTATATAGGTTGTCTGTACAAGAGGATGGGGATACAATTATTGCATGACAAATATCTACATTCAAAACTCTAGCACACGTTACGACACAACCAAATGATTCCCCTTTCCGGAGGGATTGATGAGGACAAAGGTCGCTTTCTTCAACAGGAGTAAATTCATAGTCGGGAATGGTTGGACTACTAGATTCTGGGAGGATACTTGGCTGAGGGAGACACATTTAGCCTTGCAGTATCCGATGCTTTATAATATTGTATATTGAAAAGACATTTTCGTGATTACAATATTAGGTCTCCTTCACTTAAATATTCAGTTTAGGTGGCTACTAGTGGGGAAACATTGGGATAGATGGTTACATTTAGTGCGTAGGTTGATGAAGATCGATCTGTCTAAGAAGCCATATACATTCTGTTGGAAACTTTTGGTTTCAGGCATTCTGTTAATCAAATCTATTTGTGTCGACTTGATTAACATTGGACCAATTCCAAGGTCGATTCATATGTGAAAACTTAAGGTGCCACTGAAAATCAAGGTCTTTATGCTGTTTGTGTACAGGGTAATGATTTTGATTAAAGACAACTCGGTGAAACGTAGATGAGAAGGTAGTGAACGATGTTGCTTCTGCGATCAAGAGGAAATGATTCAACATATTTTTTTTTCAAATGCATGTTAGCCAAGTTATCGTGGCGTACAAGACATCTGCCCACTTAATAGCATCTCTAATTTGTTCAGTATCTTAATGCATATCCACTTAATAGCATCTCTAATTTGTTCAGTATCTGATTAAATACGGTAGAGCCTAATACGATGGCATGAAATCGAGAGAGAGTTTGTGCATTACTAGCTATTTAGAACTGCCAGAGGGACGTTATTTTTAACCAAACCAATATCACAAACTTTTTGCAGGTTATCTTCCCGGCGGTTGGATGAATCCATACGTGGTCGTTAGTCAGCTGTAACTACTGAAAGACGGTAGCATGGGCTACATACAACCAGTTCGGATGTCGATCCAATAATTGGATAGGTGTTTAGGCATTGTGCCCTATATTTACCGGTTGCGATATTTTGTTGTATGACTTGCTTTTGTTTTATGACTTTCGTTACCGGGCGCGTCCACGGGCACTAACCTGGCACACCTCATTTGTTGGCTTCCACACCCGCGTCCTTCATATCCGAACCCTCAAAACCATACAATCCATGCAGCGCTACATAAAACACGGTCAACACGCAGTTCATCGGATCAACATTGCATCCCGAACAAAAGGAGCATAGTTCTTCGGAGTTCAACGGCCAATCCATACTACAAACAACTTAAAACATAGTTAAAATATAAACAGAATGGGGAAGGGCGGAGGAAATCACCATTTCCTCGTCGGCCCCTTCCCCTTTCCGGTCGTCGGCGCGGCTATGCCCCTCCCCCGTGTAGGTGTCGGCGTGCGGAGGTGCGTCGTCGTCGGAGCTGGAGTTGGAGCCGTACATCAAGTTGGAGTCGGAGCTGCACCTCATGCCCGACAGCCTGCGGACTAGGCGATCCTGCTCCTTCGCATGGTGAGCCACCTTCGCCTTCGCTGCCGCCTCCTTGTTTGCCTCGCGCTCCAACAACTCGATGGCGAGCCGGGACACGTTGGCATTCTTGCGGCGGAGGTGCCACCCACCCGTCTCCGTCATCGTGAGAGAGCGGAGGAGGACCGATGCGAGCAGTGCGGCCTCAGGATTGACGGGCGTGTTCGCGCGCGTACGGCGCGAACATCGCCTCAACCCTCTCCCTCGCCTGCTGCCGCACGTGCCTTGGACACGGGCGTCCTCGTGCATGCCGGCCCTGACGCGGGCACGAGGAACCAATGGTGGCCGGGTACCACTTCCGGACGAGAGGATGGTGGATGTGGGCGGCGTACCTGAAGGAGCGGCGGAGCGGAGCTGTGCACTGGGCAGGAAGGGTGGATGACGTCGCCACTGCAGCGTCGACGGGCGACGCGCGCTGAGGAAGAAGATCCCCGGCTGCGGGGCCGCCTTGCTTGAGCAGTGACCTACTCAAGGCGATGCGGAGGACCACCTCCTCC